TGAGTGACAGTATATTACTTCTATTACTCTTACCATCCCAAACAGTCTTTGGGGGCCTCTGCTAGTTAGGTAATGACTCCTTTAGGTTTCGTCTAATTGATACCAGTTTGTCCCGGGGTATAAATCAACCAGGCAGTGGTCAGATAACGGCTGCCAGGGAGAAACCGACACGGTAAATCAGTCTTAGATCCTATCTAATCTTACCCGAGTGTTTGCCAGAGATGTATTTCACTTCAGGAAGATTTCCATCCACCCTTTTTCCACCACCCACTTTGTTCCTCGGGTGTCATAGGTTGTACATTAGCCTGCAATGGGTGTGCTTTTGTGCACCGTTTATTTGGACGGCATGAGATATGCAGGTGGAGGTCAGTAATTGCGATCTGCTTTTAATCAAAGTATGTTCTGAATTAAGTTTCTCATTATTGTAACTGAATTCCCTGATTCTATCTCAAGTCACCCACAGAAGGAGCAAGCTCCTGCTATATTAGTGTGTGTTGAGCTTTTATCTCATTGAACTTGTAGTCTATGTCATGGACATCACAGAAAACTGTTTATGTACAAAATTTACATATCATGAGCAAAACAATTTGTCTATGGTTGACCTCTTCTATCTTGATTTTCGGTTCAAACATGTCTGCCTAAGTGTGCAGTGAATCGGCAGCAGAAAACAGCAGATATCTGTGTTAAGCAGAGTCAGAACTGCAGGCGTGCGGCTGTACCAAGACATTTTAAAGCCATAATTGGATTTTTTTTTCATGGAAAAAACTTCTTTTGAGTAACAGACATGAGTTTTTAGGGATTTAATTAATGCCAGAAGAACTATCTCAATCTCACACACTTTCTCTTCTCTCACGCTATCTCCCACTTGTTTTCTTTTCCTCGAGCATTTACTTTTCCCTTATTTTCTGGTTGGTGATTTTTTACAAATCACCTCTAGATATAATATTAACTTTATATTATACTATATGGTACTATAAAGAGTGTTGTTACTTTGCACCTCAGTGAAACATCAGAACAACACTGAAAAGTGAAATTAAAAGCTCTTTGTCATGCCCCTCAGAAGTGGTGATAAATATGTGGATTTTCTTATACAAGCAGACTATTCTTAAGCAAAATAATTAGGGTATTTAGTCTTGTTATCAGTCATTTGGCCTATTTTTGTGAAGTCTGGTATCAATGTGTGCACCACACTGAACATGGACCAGGGAAAGAAAACAATTGGTTTGTTGGAAGTGATAAGTAAGAAAACAATTGGTTTGTTGGAAGTGATAAATAAGAAAACAATTGCCAAGCACAGTCAAAGTAGGCTATAAGATCATCTCCAAGCAGTTTGATGTTCCCGTGACAACAGTTGCTGATACTATCGAGAAGTTAAAGGTCCACTGGGCCATAGCCAACCTTGTTGGACGTGGTCTCAAGAGGAAAATTGATTCCAGATTTAACAGGATACTTTGAAAGGTGGAAAAAGAACAGAGGAAGGAAGAAATACTTCAAAACAGATAGATGACCTCCAAGGTAAATGTACAGCAGTGACCAGTTTCTCCATATGTCACCCATTGAATAAGGACCCCACTTCTTAAACAGAAATGACCAGAGGCCAACTGGAGTTTGCCAGATTGCATGTGGGGGAAGCCACAATATTTCTGGGAGAATGTCCTTTGGACAGATTAAATCAAATGGGAGCTTTTTAGTAACTGCTGTGACTGTTCACAGAAGGAAAACTTAGGCTTTCAATGAAAAGAACACCATCCACTGGGAAACATGGAGAAGTTCTGACTCAGCCTCAGATCATGGCTCCTCCAACAGGAGGATGATCTAAAAGTTGCATCTAAAAGAAAAAAACATTGGACCATTTAGTCCTGATCTTGATCCTATCTATCAATAAAAAGTTAAGAGTTGCAAATGGGAAAAGGCACCCATCAAAGCTGAGGGAATAGAAGCAACCTACTCGATACACTCTTGGCCATGTATTTATGTACATATACCGCCTGCCCCATCTTCCAATACTTTTCCAGTTCAGCTTTTTCCTTAACATTCCTTCCTCTCCTTCCTGCTAATAGAGGTACTTCACAGCTCAGTGGTGTAATATCTCTGAGCTGTCTGCAGATATATCTCTGGAGACAACCTTTCATAGCTGTAATATGGTAATTCGTGGCAAAAGCAGAGTAGGAGAGAGGATTGAGAAATGTGCCTGTGACTATTATTCAGCCTGGATGGAAGAATGGAGTTAGGGATGAAGAAAGAAAGGGATTCCCCTTGTTAAAACCACTCCCAATTTGGGTGATTTTTGGGAGTGCTAGCTGCTGTTGCTGGCTTTATTACCAGGATGCTGTGGTCAACTGGGATTTAAATGCAATAATGCAATGTGTATGTATGCAGGCATTTGGATGTACTTTTCTGTATGTACTGTACTTACACTTGCATCTGCAATCTAAATGAGCCTGTGTCTCCCTTCACACATGTTTGAATTAGAGATTCTCCTTTTAACAGGCCAGTTTGGGTGTTCCCCCGGGCTGTCAAATAAATCTTGGCCATTAAAAATAAACCCAATGTCCACAGTGCAGTAAGTAATTTGTAATTGCTCTCCCTGCACTGCAACACCAGAGAATGAGAAGCAGGTAAACTGTCAACTTGTACCAATAATGTCTTTCCTGGGAGATATGAGTCGTACCAACATACTATTTCCCCTAAAATAATTTATACCCCCCCCACTCCCCATATAGTGTATTTGTCTTTTGTAGAAGGAGTTAGTTTGCCAAGCTTGAAAAAAGTCCTCTACACTTATCTTACTCATATAGAGCTCTCTGTCTCTCATACCTTCTGGTTCTGTCTCTCCCCACATCTATGTCTATGTATCTGTCTCCTCATTTGTTACATCTTCCCTTCGTATGACTTTCCATCACTCCCTCAAGCCTCGTAGTCTTTTCTCAAAAGACTGATGTACACAGTTCTCGATCTACAAGAAATCACAAAGCAGTAGTAAAATAAAAACATGTTCTCTTGTATGTAGAGAAAAAGTCTGTCACAAAGATTTGCCATTCATTTACTAATATCACATAATGTGCCCTCTGGGTGTTTATATTCAATTTTACACATAGTTATTTTTTTTTTTAAACTGTGAGCATATGTTTTATATTTGTCTATAATGTGTGCTACTGTTCAATTATTGAAAATAAAATCCCAAATTATAGGAACCATAACACCAAAACTTATAGTGAGGGGTTGAAATGTGGGCGCAGCTGCTTTGTTTTACTTTTTCAGACTTGAGTGAGAATTTTTAAAAAGGCATGTTTTAAGAGCCTCTTCTCAGGGCACTATTAGTCATTCAGGGTTGAGGTTTCCAAATGGGCTGCTGCTGCTGTAGCTGTAGATTTAACTGACCAGATCAACCCTCCCATGTCAACGACTGGTGGAAGAGGTTTCAGTCCAGTGATTTTTGGGACCACAAGGACAAGTTCAGAACAGCCTGTGATGACAGTGGCACATCACTATTTTAATGGAAAGGACAGAAAATGTTTTAAACTTTCCTTACTAAATTGTTTTTTTCTGCTACTCTTGGTTCTTTCAGGATGAGTGGGTGTTTGGCTCCACTGTCTGGATTGCATCAGGGATTTCTCACTGTCATTATTCTAGCTAAAGCTTTCAGTTTAGCAAAATCACAGAAGCTCTGACTTGAATCTCGTCAGATTCAGACGTGCTCAAGCAGACACACTGGATGTATGTTGACTTATGTTGTCCATTGTTAGACTCATGGCTCCAGCTCCCCCCAAGCCCCTCATAGAATGAGCAGGATGGATCAATGGATTGTTAAACTTAAATTCAAATTTAAAAGAGGAAAATGATGCTCTGTGTATACTTCAACAAATGAAATAGTTAATGTAAATTGTTTCAACTTAACAAATTGTAGTTGTGCTAGTATGAAGGAGTCATTGGTTTCACTAGCATCTCTGTATTGAACAGACTTAAATTCATCCATTTCTGGCCTAGGACGCTATCAGCACAGTTCACTCATTTTGATTATGCATGATCTGGGATTGTTTAACGACACAAAAGACGACCATCGTGTTCTGTTTTTCACATCCTCGCCTGTTTGTCAGGAAAGGCGTCAATTCTCCTCAGCAGTAGAAATGTTTTCTGGACCCACCAATAAATCTACAGCTCAAGACACTGCCACCTTTCTGTTTGACCAGTCAGTCATTGGACCCAGTTGAATGTTCTTCTATGTTCTCTAATAAACAGACAATTTTGATATATATACATTTTTTAACAGACTTAGACATGGACAGTTACAGGTGCAGCAGGTGCTGAGCTCTGTCACAGCAACAAACATCATAGAATCACTTCCTGTTTGCCAATTTTTCTTCAAAGTTAAAGCACAATGTTTGTTTTGTTAATGCAATGCTTTACAATGAGGGGAATTACAGAGCTTTTAGTTTTGAAATGTTGTGAACTAAGGTTTGATGATTGTCGAGCAACACTAAACAGACCTCAGTTTAGTGAATCATGCAAAGTTGTATCTAAACCATACAGTAAAGCAAATATATTTTCATTTCATGAAAACATAGGGTTGTTTTCTCTGCAGCATAGACTGTATATAAAAAAAAAAACTCTGCACAGAAAATCCAGCACACAAAAAATAAAAAGTAACAGTATATTGTTAAACAGTTTGAAGAGAGCTGAAGTAGAATCTGGAGCATTACCACAGGACACCTAAACAGGCAAGTGTAAAATGGGCACTTTTTTATGTATATTTATATATATATAAATTGAGGTATTAGTATTTCAGTTTTGATCTTAAGCATTTCTGTATACTCTCTTTCTTCAGTTTCCAAGGTATCGTCATGAAGCAGGGACCACCGTTACTTTATCCACAAATTATTTGGTACATAGGTTATCACTAACAATTTATTTTTTTAACTTATCAGTTACCTCGTGTTTCCCTCTGTAGTTTTACTCTGTGCTCTGTTAGTCATTCATTTCTACTACTTCTGTCTTCCTAGACGCAGTTCAGTCTTCCTCTGTGCTGATGAAGCTGCAGGATTTGTCGGTGAGAACAGGGCTAAAGGACCGACACCATCTCCTGCTGGGGCCTTTCTCCTGCAGCACCTCCCTGGAGGCTCGGTGGTGTCGGCACAGCGGCAGCCCTGGACCTGAGCCCGGGCCCCCTAAACTGCTGCTGGACCTGAAGGGCAGCCTCCTGCAGGTTTGGCCATTAAATCAATTCAGCATATAATTTATCAACCCACACGGCTACAGTTTTAGAGGCCAGGGTCAGATCAGCACCTCTGTACCTGGTTAGAATTGAATGTCTTGTTCAAGGACACTCACCCTGAGTGAGTGAGGCCCTGTTTAAAAGAACAGCCTCCTACATGAAGCAATACTAATGCCAACTCAAATGTCCCCTCAGCTGTGAGTGCTTCTGGTTTCCAAATTAATCCTTACAGTGTAGCTGACACCCACAGACACAGGTCATCACACTCTTAACACTCTTTATGAAATTTGCTGAAGCCTCTTCAGTTCTGCCATGGCTTCTGTCCTCTTTGCAGATGAAGTGATGACAGTAGGAATTGCATGCTGTAATTCCACTGTAGTCTCGAGTCACATCTGCTGGTTAAGGAATGGAATATTATAAGGCTATTTTGGGGGGTGTGGTGGGGATATATCTTATGTGTGCCTTTTTCCTGTGAAGTTACATAATGTCCACTCTGGAAATGTGACTAACTGAACGCATTATTACTAATGTATTATTCCACATTACTTCTTCATGGGTAACCCCCTTCCCTATTTTGAATGTTTCCCTTAATGTTTTTATTGCATGCCTATTAACCGAAACATCACTCGCGACTCAACACTTAATACGTAATCATACATTTCCCTTTGCAAATATTGGCATTTTAATCAAGCGCTGTACAAAACCACTGGAATTCCCTCCGATTCCTTCTTCTCATGCTTTCTTTCCAAAACCTTGAAAAAAAATCCCCGAATTTTCCTGTTTTTAGAGTTTAGTCATAACCCACCCTTGTGAGCTAGTGAGTGGCAGGCAAGCAGGCAGGCAGCTCCATGTGTGAAGAGTTTTTGACTCAGATATTCCTCATCCTCAGTCCAAACCCCAGACAGACCCGCTTTGATGGCGCATGGGAAGGGGAATGCCACGGGTAAGTAAGAAGGATGTAAGGTTATGTTAGGTAATATTAGTAAGGATGTGAAGGGTTGATCTTGAGGGTAACCCTGACCACTTCTCTTCTTGTTTTAAAAGAGAACATTTATTTATGCATCAGCTATGAGTCTGTGTCAGTCAAGCTTTTTGCTGTTTTTCTTTACTTCCCATACATTGCTCTCTTTTTCAATTCCTGTCTTTACTGCCCTGTTTTCCTGTTTGTCCCGTTACCCATCCCACACTTTTAACTTGTTGTTGCATCCCATCCATCTTACCCTCCTTTGTTCTGTCTCAGGTCTTTTGGGGACAAGAGCATCTGAATTGCCTGAATCTTGTGGAGGAGCACCTCCGGGCATACCTTCACCTTTGGAAAGAGGATTCAGCCGATTACTGCTCCAAGGGCAAGCCCTGCCACACACAGCCGCCTCCTTCCCCTGGCTCTCCCTCTCCCCGGACAGAGCACAGCTCAGATGACTTGCGTACAGGGCTTTTTCACTACATCCAGGAGTCAGGTGAATGTTTATATAGTGCATGTTGATCTCATGCAGAGGAGACATGTGTCTCAGACTGTATTGTTGCCAGGTTCATATCTAAGTAGAGCATTGCTACTATTACTTTGAATCCTGTTTGAATTGATGCACTTGTTGAACTTTTAATTTCACAGAAGAGCTTCTATTTTCAGCAGTAGTCCAAGCTCCCAACGAGCGATTGCTTGTTATGCTTGTTTTATCATATCAGTAATTACAAAAAGACAAAATTACTTTGTAAAGACATTTGTCTCAGTAAAATTATACTAGGACATATTCCCGGTTGTTTCATGACAAGGTTTACAGAATGGATGGAAGAGTGGTGAGCACTGGTCCCTGAATCCTCACAAACTCAAAAGAGCCTTTGTGACAAAGTGAGATGTCACTCAAGATACACACAGACTTAAATGAGAGTGAGATCAAAGTCATCTGTGGAAAGAAGTTTCATCAGACACGTCTGCCTGGTTCCACTCTGAGCAGCGTGCTGTTTATTCCCCGTCTTTGTGCTCTGTGTCTGCTGTCCCCTGCGTGCACACACGCAGACACACGCAGGAACATTGTACACAGAGGATCAAACTTCTCCTTGGCTGTAGACCAGCCGTCCACTCAGTCAGCTGTGGTTGAGTCTTTGTTTGTTGCACCGTTCCAGTGGGCTTTGATGCATTTACTATGCTGACTGAAGCAGGAGAATGTACAGTAGTGAGCTAGAACGTAGGGGACAATCTGTCTGCAACATGTTGTCAGCAGTCAGTGAGAACAGGCCCCTGAGCACAGAGAACAGTGAGTGACCCCTCAGAGTCCTGACACAGGGATAGATAGTCAGAGGAGTGGATGAAAGCTGGATGGAAAGAAGGGTGGACGGACTCTCTCGGTCTTTCACTTTCTCCAGTTTTAAGCAAACGCAAATGAAAACAAATCGTCAAGAAAGTAGGCAGCTGTCTGCTACACATAAAGGGTAAAATCAGCCACAGACAGATTCTGCTGCCCCTAGAAATGTGTTTTCTACAAAAAGCGTCTCAGAGCTTGTATCCTCAGGGGCCAAACATAGCAGCAGTTCTCTGCTTGACTGTTTTTTTCAAATAAACATTTTTCCAAAGGACTTGAATCACAAACAGCAGCCCGGACTTTAGTCAAACACCACTCAGAAGTTTAGATCCAGTGTTATCCAGCTGTTGCAGGTGCAAGGCATGGTTCAATCAATGGTTATTTAGTCAATAGCAAAAATGTTTACTTGGCAACTTTGTATATATACAGCTTCTTACGCATATAAACATTCTGAGAGCGTGGAAACATCCACAGTGCTCTTTCAGGAGATACTGTTTTAGGGGGGTTGGATTCCTTAATCGAAATGACCATAAAGCATCACCGCTCCAAAGATGTATGCAAGTCAAATATAGTTCCTTTGCAACAAAAGGTGAATTTCATAATACGAAAATAATGCTTCAGATTTATGTTATCTTTTTTCCACATGCATCTGAAAATATTCCAGGAGGCCAGTAAAGCCTCTATACAGGCTCTTTGTGATGGAATTCTGTAGGGAAATGTGTTTTATACTACTAGATGTAAGCAAAATATGAACTCCATCCAGTTCACCCTCTGCTTTTCAGTTGCACTTTCTTTTATCTGTTCCACTCTTATCGTGCTTTATCTATTCCTCCTCTTTCCTTTAATTCATCTTGCTTCATCCCCATGTCGTTTTCATATTTTCCATGTCTATATTTCTGATAAGCTTTCAGCTTTCTATTTTTCTACCATCCAATAAAGCACAGTAGAAACCCAGTTTATAGATTATTGACAGATTAAAGTGAAAGTATTCTGACATTATTGATAATTCCTTGCAGCGTCCCATAGATTACCAGGACCCCATGAGGTGATGTTCTACAGTGAAACAGAGGACAGCCCGGGGGTGATGCTGTGGAGATACCCTGAGCCCCGTGTCCTCACATTCGTCAGGATAACTCCTGTACCTTTCAACACCACAGAGGACCCTGAGATCAGCACAGCTGACCTGGGGGATGCCCTGCAGGTATGAATGGACCCACATGCTGTATCTCCTGATTACAACAAAAAACTTTCACAGTTTCTGGGCGGCTGTGGCTGAGAAGGTCGACAGCTCAATATCCAGTCTTCCCCATCTGCACGCCCAAATGTCCTTGGACAAGATGCTGCTAATAGATGCACTGTATGAATGTGTGTGTGTGAATGGGTGAATAGCAAACTGTACTGTAAAGCACTTTGAGTGGTCATCAAGACTAGAAAAGCTCTATATAAATACAAACCATTTACCATTTATATTACCAACCCTTACCAGAGATAGAAGTAAAGCATCTTGTATCAGGATGTACTGTATTCTGCTGCCTTCTGCTCTCAAGGACTCGGTGAAATAGGCGTAAAAAAAAGATAATCCACGTGTAACATCACCTGCAATGAAAGAGAAATAAACTGTCTTGGAACTGGGCTATGTTCCATTATGATTCCCATGACATGAGTCATGAGAACTCCCATACACTATGTGTTATTGAATGACAGAGACCCCTGCTGTTCCTCCAAGCATGTAATACATGATCAGACAGCTGTGGAAGTCATTTTGCATGCTCTGGTGTGAATAGCCAGGTGTCTCCAGCCCCAGATGAGGTTATATTTTGGCAGGCTGTAGCAGCTACTGAGTCTTCAGGGCCTCACTGGGGGAGAGGACATCCCAGTTTTCCTCCTATCACTCATCCACTGCCTTTCTTTCCAGCTCTTTATCCTCGAAGGAAAGCCGGTTCCCAAAATCAAGTTCATCCTCCTCGATATTCTTGTTTTTTTTCCATGGAGCTAAATTGTGTATTAGTTACATTTAGTCATATATTATTTAAATGCCCATTGTTGATTTGGTTTTAAGTTTAATTCAATGTACAGTGAGTTGAGAATGAAGATGAGAAGCAACTGATAATTTATTAGCTACTGGGTTGGTAAAATGTCAAAAAATGCAAATGTAACACTGATGTAATACATGTAATAGATGTAAATTTAATATGACACTGTAGGTACAACTAGTAGATATATATTCATAATTGATAGAACAGTTTTAAAATAAAGAAGAAATAAAATAGAAATAAGTATAAAATATTGACTATAAAAAGTATATCCCAACTCATTCCTAATTAAGTACAGTATTTATCAGAACTTAATGTTATTATTCTGAAATGAATGGCCATGGCAAGGGTTATTACATTCTCTGCCCATTTCTAAGGACTTTTTAATTACATTTTTAACCCTTAGGGCCAGCTCCCCTTTCTCGCTTTTCCTTCTGCTTCTTTCCTCCATCTGCAGCAGACGTTTCTCATCTTTCTTTATCCTCCCTTTATCTCTCAGATTCTTTCCTGGACTCCCACAATCATTTCACTGACAGAACAGATGTTTTCTTCAGTCTGTTTATGTGTGCCGACCCAGGAGAGGGAAGATATTGGACAGTTATGCAGATGTCTGACTTCCCAGCAAGGCCCCACAGCTGTAAAGTCTGTAATGAGCAAATCGCCAAAGCGTCGAGCTGATTGGCTGCATATTGAGTTACATCAGAGAACAGATAGAACTGATGTGTGTGGTTGAGGGAGGGCTAGAGGAGGAGGCAGTGATAGACAGAGTTGAGATAGAGGGAGAGGTTCTATAATGGGAGGAGATTGACAGGAAGGAAGAGTTGAACAAAGATTGAGTGAGGGGATGGTAATTTGTGTGTGTGTGTGTGCGTGCATGCGCCTGTGCGTGCGTGTTTGCGTGCTGCTCCAAACAGATGCCTACAGACATGTTCTTATCTGCATGAGAGTATATTACACAGCAGGAGATGTGGAAGCAGTGGTTGATGAACATGTGGTTTCCACATCTTCCATTCCACTCCTCCTGTCATCCGGTATGGTCCTTTCTCCTCTGACAAGTCTGTTAAGAGGAATCAGGTGATGGGACTTCTACGAGGGAAAGTGGTGAAAAGAGGAAAGCTAAGAGAATTGTCCAAACTGTTCTGCAACATTAGTTAGCATCTAGAGGAGAGAAGAGAAATGCACCATGCACTCACAGTAACCACCGTACAAGCCACGTGTGAGTACAGCAGCAGTGAGCCTCCTAATTCTACTGCTTGTGTTTCTGTGACATCCATATAAACATTCTGTCCACACACGGCAGCAGATACGTCTGCAATAGGACACTTGGACAGTTATAGCAATGGACATGTTTCACAAAGGTACCGTTGATAAAATTAATGAAAAACATCACTAAAAGTGTATATGTTAACTGGTTTGAATCCATTGTTGAAAGCTTATCTTAAGCATTTAGTCAACACTGCTAAAAACAGGATCATGTATCATGGACTTCTTGAAAGAAGTGACTGTAAAGTAATTATGAGACATTGGATCCATGTACACAGTCCTATACTTACCTCATTTTTTTGTCCAAACACTCTCATAGCATTAAGCCAGCTGTGTGTGAGGCATGGGTTGGATTTGTGGGGGTTATTTTAACCGGACCTCTTGGTCATCAGCCAAAGTCATTGTGATCCCAGATTTAATTGATTTCAGCCTCTGAGACAATGATTATGATTTCCTTCCAAAACTTCAAAAGTCTCAGTTAATTCTTTTTTTCTTATTTCTCCCAAGAAGTCAGTCCAACTACAGAGAACGGAAATGCAGTCATAAAAGTAAAAAAACGAGTAATGGCTCAGTTTCTGTTCCAAAGCAATGTCATTTACTTTACATCAAGACTGTGTATAGAGAGAGAGAGAGAGAGAGAGAACCAGAGAGAGAGCGGGAAACAGAAAGAAGGCAGACATAATTTCTCAGGCCTCTAAAATTACCATGTGGCCAATGCAGAGATGGAGGCTGATAGATTTTGAGAAACGGAAACTTAGAGGCATAGGGGAAGAAAAAAATTAGGAAGAAAGAGAGTATTAGTATTGAGCCGTCCTGTCGCTTATAATGTTTTTCCAATTTAAGGCTGTTAACCAGCAGGTGGAGGGAGAAAAACAAGATGAACACTATAAACGTGGGTCTTCTCCACATTTTCTCCTTTCCCTCATTCTGTTACTCCTCCTCTCCCTCCTTTTGTCCTTTTGTTACTCGCCCCCTCCTCCTTTCCTTTGCTCCCTCTCTTCAGCGGAGTGCACTGACTAGATGAAGAGGGTGGGGGGAGGTTGCCCGTCCCCAGAGCATATCATATTAACATTTTATAAAATCAAGATTTCCTGTATTTAAATAGTTGTGGTTTCCCGACTGGTTCCAGCATCTCAGAGGGGGAATTCAAACATCCTTCCATTACTCTAAGTCAAATTGCTGCCTGCGTTATTTTTACATACAGTAGAATGGGAGCGTCAGAGTGATGGGAGGGTGGCTGAGAAGTGACAGATTCCTGACAAAGCACCCGCAGGTTCCCACCTGTAGAGGGCCCAAGTGATGAAGGGATAGAAGGAGAGAGGAAGGTGACTCATTCTCACCTTCTTACCGCAGTGTGGTCCAGTTCTCTGAATCATAAGCAGGTGTCCTAACTGCTCTTTTTTCCGTCCCTCTCATTTGTCTTCCCCTCCTTCTGCCTCTCTGTGGGGTTCTGAAGTCTGGGAGTAAACACAGGGACTATGATTCAGTCTGACCCAGGCACAGGGGGATCAGGAGGAGGAGATGCAGAGTTTCAAAGTAGAGAACAACAACTTGAGTTCAGCCTCAGAATGTAGTCTCACACATTCTGTTCTTATGCATGTTCACATTTTCCTTGCACCCACGCAGGCTTTTCTCAATATACAAATGTTTAAATGTCATCATCCACTTTCTTTTTGAAGCTGTTGCCCAAAATGTACTGACTTTTTCAGACAAACATTGCACCATCTGGTCCCCTGCTGTTGCTTTTGTGCATGGCACTGCGGAATAGCCTTTCATGTCCCAGCAGGGCTCTGTGCTGCCATCATGGCCCTGCTAGCCTGCGACCGATATTCTAAGAGCTGGCCTGAGATGAACCTGCAATCTTCAGCCGCAAACATCTCTAAGGCTGTTGTTTCTGCCATTATTGTTATTAAACGCAGGTCTACCATCAGCTTTCTCTGGAATTTGTAGGAATATACCGCTTTTTGTTCCAAGTTAGAGTTGGAACAAAAAGAAAAAAAATTTGGATGAGAATCATTGGGGTATTTCACTTGAGTGCGACACACTGAACCAGAAAGAGTGGCGGGTTATTTTAGCCAAGATAACTATTATTTTAGTGGGACAGAGCTCATGCCAGAGCTGCATTAGTCACAGCTAATACACTATGAAAATAAAAGACTGTCCATGTGGTTAATTTGATCTTGAGCTCTTACACCTCATCCACCAAAATTCCAGCCCTTCTAAAGTTTGGCATTGCAGAGGAAACAAAAAAAAAGATGAGCGCAACAATCTCAGCATGGGCTTATTCTTGATTTTCCACACTGATTAATGTTAACGTATATTAGCCCACCTGAGACAGCACTGCAGGAGTCATTTTCAGAACAATTTTCATTACATCTCCTGAGTAAACATTTGCTCAAGCTGATGTCAATTCAATTTGTCTGCTGGCTGATAAGAAGTAGCTAGCAGTGGATTTTTTAGACATATAAGCATCAGTGAAATAACAGAATACCTAATGGCAGTGTTGATATTGTTAATAAAAGTAATGGCAGACATGGCTGTGGATGTCAACAGCCGCAGCCTCAGAAGGAGCTCAGGGAGTCTTCAGTTGCAGAGACATATTTAAACTTCAGCGGTGATCACACCTGGGTTGATCATGGAAATTGAAATTACTTCTATATGTTGTGTATTTACTTTAGTAAGCCTGCTTTGACGTAGTATTTTAGAGACTGTGATTGGTCTGTTGATCCCAGAAAAGTTAACCCATGTAGATAATAGTTTGGCAGAAAGATTGGTGGGTGACATGGGTCAAAATCAGAGATGCATATACACAATGGCTCATACGGGCCTGAATCTAAATATATTAGTTTGGAATGTATATGCTGCTTTAAAAGTCCTTAACTTAGCCTTTCAGACAATTTGACCCACTTTCAAAATGTGAATAAAAAATTTAAATAACATTTAAGATTATCCATGGACTGATATTTTACCCTGAGGTCTCGCTGCCAGAAGTGCTTTGTCGAGTGCTTGAGTAAGAAACCCAGATTGGGCCCATCTAGCCAAGGGAATGTCAGCTATTCATGGTTACATGTTGTTTATCAGATAAGGTACACACACACAATCAGGCAGCGGAAACTGACACTGCCCAGACTGTATCATGCACTCACATACATAAGCACACCTGTGTATACACATGTATACACGCGTATTGTCTTTCATACGTGCAATTACACATAGTCATCCTCTTGAACACATATATACAATAAGCCTGACATATACACAGGTCCCGTCTCCTCCCAAAAGCCAGTGCCAGACGTCCAACTCAACATAGCTAAAAGATTTAACTCTTTTTTTTTTTCCATCATCCCTACAACATTTGATGCACTGGTTATTGATTTCATCTTTACTCTCGTCCAAGGCCAAGACCGCAAGTCAAAGGAAACATGACGCAAATTCAACCATGCAAATGTATTCCACTGTACCATATATGTACCTCACCTATTCATTTCTCTATGCAGTCATATGTATAGAATATCACAGGTGGAAAAAAAACACACTTTGGATTTTAGCAGTCGAGTTCTGGGAATTCTCTGTGGACTTTCTGTGAGTTTCCTCTTCGGTGGCTCAGTGTGGGGGTTGCGGGTGCACAACTCTGTCAGGTACAATTATGAGAAGTTGATTCCAGGAAAACCAGTGTGGCATTTTACATGATGTAAGCTAGGGTTACTTCATCCATCAGGCCCACACATATAAATGTGCGGACACATACTCACACTCTTTGTGCACAATGCTTCCCTCACGTATGTGTACACACTGGCCTGTTGATAGTCCTGTGATTTTGGTAATTGTCCAGGGGGCTTCATACCTCTGGTTAACTGTTGGATTGTCACAGACACATGTGCACAAACAAATGCACTCACCACACACACACACACACACACACACACACACACACGTACGTCTTACAGCCTGGCATCCTTCAGGTGTGCTCCAGAGACACCCTGCCACTACTGATTCATCAGTAGTTGAGATTTGCAGGTGGTCATGGGGACCTGAGCACCTGGTTTAGTTCACACAGGAGCACCAGACACATTTATGCTAATTTTGGTTCAATCTGAGAGGAACCAATGGAGCCCTACCAGTCATCACATAATGTGAGAACACTCACATAGCCTGATTGTTATTCAGTGTGAGAAACCGCTCGAGGTCTCAATGTTAATGGGAGTCTTGTAGCATACAGTTGCACTGTGTTTAGTTATGCTGTGGTCATGCGGTGTTGTTATGGAGAGTTGTTGTCTGGCTGCGTTGGTGGTCTGCGGTGAGAGTGTAATTTTTTCCAACTAGATGAGAAATTAAAGTTTGTCTGAAGTGAGTAAAATTCAAGGTTGTAATACAGACGTCATTAACATTCAGTCCCTCGTTCCCTCTCCAAGGCAGGGAATCCCTGTGTTTTTAAAACAGGTCAGTAAAGTATCAGTGCTTGATGATTAGCAGACCACTGCAGTTGCTTAATGCTTTATGTTGAACTAGGGAATCAACCGCACTGAGTGCAATAACAAAGCCTTACAGTAATCTTTGAGCAGATGAGTAAGCAGGGTTACACTGGGAGGGTTACAATAGTCCGTCTGGACCTTAGCCTTAGCTTTAAATGACGAACATCTGATGAATACAACACTAAGATATTCACTGGTGTCCATCAGGAGACTATGGGTCTACTGTAAAACACTCAAGCAAAATGCTGTCATCTGATGAAAGGAATATATGTGGGCTCCATTGATAGTATGATGTCCTCAACAAAACCACGCATAAAGAGGTCCTCTGGGATGACACTGATTAGTATTCAGATATATTCAGCAGCACAAAGACCTTTTAGAATTACTGTTTTAGTTGAAACTTTGTTTCAGTAGTTGCAGCATTCTGTGTCACCCTTTAAGGCTGCACAGGCCATTGTCTGTCCTAGTGCCGCCTGAACAAGAATAAAGCCACCACACCTGTACAAAACTTTGCTGTTTGATGACTTTATTTTAGTCCAGATGAATTGTTGTACGAGACATATGGTCACTATGTTTGCTGCAAAAATTAGAAGAGTGCAGAGCAAGAAAATGTTTATTTAGCTCAATCTTCATTAAGGACTTGACATTTTTCTCTGCTGGATGCTGCTGGAGGAAAATACATATTTGGGGGTCATATTTTAAGATCTTTACTGTGTCTTTCTGTCCAGGTACCAAGCAGCCTGGAGTACTGGGATGAGCTCCAGCAGGCCTTCGTTCCATACCGGGAGTTCAGCCTGTCAGAGAGCAGTGCTTGCCAGCTGCAGCTCCCCAGCCTCAGCCTCACCGACCAACAGAAGGAGCTGGTGGCTTCAGACCTATGGAGGATAGTCCTCAATAATAATGGAGAGGGAGGAGATGAGCAAAGGTGAGGCAAAAATCTACATTTGATCTTTTTCTCTTTCTTTGTGCTTCGAGATACCCGTAGGTGTTGTGTCCGAGTCGTATATCAAGAGAGCATGTGTATGCCTACACATGGATGTGTGTTTGGATCTCCAACACATATGCCGTCCTGTGTGAGGGAAAGCAGAGGGAGAGAAAGTGCACCCAGGCCGCTGAGCACAAAGAGCTAGTAATGTGTCCCTCGCCCCACATCTGGTGTGCAGGAACAGGGAGCGGGCTTGGAAGGCGTTCAGATTGGCCTAATGAGATTTCCCAGCACACCAAGTGCCTGTCAGGGCCCATCCGGATTCCTTCCTGCTTACCTTGAGTGTATCTAATCGAGGGGAAGCTCACGGGAAGCAAGAGGAGTAAAGCCCCCTTTGGTTTGGCTGGGCCAGGGAAGGCCTGGGTTGGGCTTGGTTGAGCTGGGATGCAATGGTTTGGAGTGGGCCAGTGATCTAACACCTCAGTGAACATGTTTTTACTGCCTTCTTCTCGCTACCACTGCTTCCTCTCTTCATCTCCCTGATGTCTCACCCAGCATACTATTACATCTTCTGGGCTTCACCCATCTTTCATTTATTTAGTCTTTTTTTCCCTCATTGTTTCCTCATCTCAATCTACTCCCCTCCTTTTTACCTCCTCTTGGGATTTAGGAAACTTTTAGTGGAAGAGAATTGCCAAGCCCACATTCTGTGTGGCTTAGAAAGCTCCAGAGGAAGAGAAAGGAAAGAATAAGAAAACATCCAAGAGAAGAAACAGAGAAAAAAATCTACAGAGCCAGATTCAGTGTAAAGCTAAATATACATCTGTGCTTCATTACAATCATACTCCAAACACTACATTTCCTTTATGTTTAAATTATTTGTCTTTTCTGATCAAAATCGATTCCCCTTTCCTCATTCCCTCGTTTCATCTGCCTTACTTTAGTTTCCACCAGAAAAATAACTTGGCTTCCCTGCCAACTGGAAGTAATGAAAATTGTCAACATATGATGCTTATCTTTTTAAGGAGCACTCTGCTGCACCAGCATTTTTCAGGTCTTGAGCGTTTCCTGCTGTAGCTTTTATAGTGGATCATGGTAGTAGCAAATTACAGAGCAAATGGTCATTCACTTCAATTACGTTCCATTCAACATCATCAACCATGACATGCAATTAATATCTAGAGATTCTCCTGGAAACTGTGTCAGTAATATTGTACCTAAACTAAGTGGCTCAGACAGTGAAGAGGCCCCCTCCACATTGTCTGAATAATTGTAGCGTTTGACTCAGAGTAGGTTTCTAACATGGATGCCACACAATTTCTAACTGACTGGGCAAGAGACAAAAGCATTCAGCTACTAATAAGAATCAGACTATTTTAATTAGAATGAATTGAATTCTTGTGGTCATTATCCCACAGCTGTGTCTGTGGTTTAAATGTTATAAAAGAAAGTTTAAAAAATCAATTAATGAAAACTGTCAGATGCTGACTCAAAATCCTACATAACTCACTTCCACCACTATTATTTCCATATGACATAATTTCATATTCACAGGGTTCCATATCTTTCTTCATGTCTCTCCATTTTCAGTGTTATTTCACAGTTACATATACTACAGATACATTTTCTCAGCTCTCTGCTTTATCTCTCCAGTTTGGATAGTGAGTGTGGGTCCCAGGTACCCTGCGATCAGCTGGTGTCTCCAATAGCCTTGGCAGCTTGCACCCGTGTGGACTCCTGCTTTGCTCCCTGGTTTGTCTCCTCCCTGGGTGTCTCCCTACAACTGGCACAGCTTGAAGTTCACCTCTGCCACCACCTAGAACAACTGGGTACAGGTAGGACACCGAATTCACAATCACTATTATAGCTGTTGGAGAAAGTAACTTAAAACCAGTTTATACTTTATTGGTGAGAGAAAAAAAGTTCTGCCTTCTCTTTGTTACTTTGCTGGATCATGATTTAAGCAAATTACAGAATAAATGCCTACTCAATTCAGTAAAACATTTGTTTTGGACTGTACATTTTTGCAGATATGAATAAGATGTTTGGATTAATTCAATTCAATTCAATCTTATTTGTATAGTGCCCAATCATAATATACATTATCTCAAGGCATTTTACATAAATGGTAAATGGTTTGTATTTATATAAAGCTTTTCTAGTCTTGATGACCACTCAAAGTGCTTTATAGTACAGTTTGCTATTCACCCATTCACACACACACATTCATACAGTGCATCTATTAGCAGCACTTTTTTGTTCTATGAGGGGCAATTCAGGGTTCTGTATCTTGCCCAAGGACACTTCAGCAGGCAGATGGGGAGGTTCCCACAATGAGCAGCACTTTGGTGACTGTGGAGAGGAAAAACTCCCTCATTAACAGGGAGAAACCTCTAGAAGAACCAGGCTCAATGTGGGCCGTCATCTGCTCGACCGGTTGGGGTGAGCAGAGAAAAATGGGGAGGAGAGGAGAGATGGGTAGAAAAGAGGGGAGAGAAGAGAGATAGTGGGGAGGGGGAGAGAGAGGTGAGAGAGACCGGAAACACTGGAGCACCAACATGTATCAGCTTTGACTAGTTAAAAGGATTCATGCATTTTATTTAGGGGCAGCTGGCTCAGGGGTACTGAAATCCACTTTGAATGGTCATCAAGACTACAAAAGAGCTATATAAATACAGACCATATACAGTTTTAGCTTTTTTACCCCTGTAAAGCAGTTTTGTTGTTTGTGTCTTACCCCTGAAAGCCTTTAGTAAAAATAAAATCACTCTTTTTTTAAGTTCCATCTCGGCAACTTCGACCTTTCCTGCCAGACAGGAAGTTACCACAAGAGCAGGAGTTCATGGTGATCGGTGCTCGGGAGCCAAGGGTCTTCTTGCGCCAGTGGAGCAGTGGACCACGTCACTGTCAGGAGTTTAGCTTTTCCACCCAGGTGGACTGCAAGCTGCTGGAATACAGAAATTTAACACACCTCCAGCTTCTCCAGCCTTGTGTACTACAGGTAGAGCGCAACCATATTGGGTTTATTACTATATGCTCTGTTAATATACAAAGCTCCAGAAAATGTGGAGAAAAAGAACGGATATTTAGAATCTGATTTCTTGTATCTTTCAGGGTCAGGCTGCAGCCACCAGTTGCGCGGAGAACACCACGTTGGATGTGAATGTGTTTGTGGACCCGGTGTTTCTCAATATCAGCCAGTATACCATCCACACCATGGACACTGCCCTGCACAGCTGGCAACAGGTGACAAGAAGTTCAAGCTATTGAGAAAGCCACACACCTTTATATTGCATCACACTCCAAAGAATACAAAAATGTATAAACTTCATGAACTGACATGAAAAAATCCAACCAGTGATAAAACATTCATACTGATTTTACAGCTTGGAAATAATCAAACGAGATGTCCTGAAGGCTAAAGTTGTATTTCAATTTCCATGTATTGTTAGTGCCAGAAGCCAAATTGTCGGTATCTATATGTACTGAGGAAGTCTCCAGGCTCACTGCTGCAAAAGGAAGCACATTTCAGGGGATAAAAATAATCAGTTATATGATCGATTAGGCTGTGAAGTATTGGAGGATGACTTGTTGACTTGACATCCAGAGTAGTGCATTCAGACATGTAAAGTAAGAAGAGATTGTTGAGGTATTTGAATTGATGTTTGATATTTGGAGGCAGGGGCTAGTAAACTTGTGGGGGAAATCCATTGAAATGTTTGCACATTTCGAGAATGATACTGAAAGACGACCCTTTGTCCCAGGTGGAGTATCACTTAAACAAACTCACAACAAAAGGCATTTTATTAGAATTGTTTTTGGTTGTATGCCAATAGTAACGTAGGATGGACCTGCCTTTCAGTTTTCAGTAAACTCTGACTAAGAGACTAAAGTGTCTCTGTTCTTGGGCGTCTATTGTCCTCGTCATCTCTCAGTTCTCAGCTCTCAGCTCTCAGCTCTCAGCTCTCAGCGCTGCCTCTAGTAGCCAGGATATTTGTGTGTGAAGTAATGCCCATAAAAACATGGTAAAACTTGAGTGGTTACACCTGCCAAGATTTGATCTGGCCCTTGTCCTCCACCCACTCTTCTACTGTATATACACACAAGCGCACACACTCACAGACACACTAGCCTCTCTGGCTTTGTATGCCCTATCATGGTGGCTCAGCTGTGGCTCTGCTGACTCATATATTGGCCTCTGGAGAGTTGAGATACTCTCATGGTTTTACATGCACGCAGACTCTCTCTCTGCCAGGTGAGAGAAATAATAGTCCATGTTTTTGTGGAAACAGCTGTGGTCTGTTACCTGTGAAAAATCAAATCAAACAGGTTGTGTAGAATATTCTACTATAAAATTAGTGTTTTGGCTAGCAGATTAATACATTTGTTTCGCTTTAATGGTACTGACTCATCAAATCCATTGGATGGAGGGTCATTCTTGACCCATAGCTCCATCATTGCATCATTTAGCACAATTGAGTGAATACTCCTTATTTCTGCTGGTTAATTCAGCCATAAATAAGACTTTAGGGCATTTGTGGTGTTGTCATTAAAGCACATATTGCAGCTTTACTATTTGTTTTGGGCATGTTATGCATTCAAGGTAACCATTATTGGCTTTATCCAAAATGCCAAGTATGATGAGTTGGGTTACAAAGTGGTTATACACTCTTAGCCAACGTTTTTGAATGCCCAGTGTCTTGAAACCCAAAATAGAGTCATATAATGCAAACACGCACAGAATACCATTCTACACGTGTACACCACACAGTTAACTCTCAAACAGACACTCAAATTAACATGTTGACTGGAATGAGATTCTTGAAATTATTCACCCTGCTGTATCTTTTGATTGGTGTGAAATGCAGCAGCCTTGTCACTTATTCAGAACCTTTCATCTACCCCCAGCCTTCACCACTATGCTGAACACAAGGGAAAAACACACCATAATTATAAGGCAAATGTGCTGCATGTGGGTATGGTAGTTTTGTTATAGGGGTAGAGAGAGGTCAAGTACAAAAGGCTGATTCTTTATGAAATGGTTTGCTTCAATATTTGGTCCATCTCAGAGTAACTTGTGAACATTTCAATTATGGAAAATATTGTTTCCCTTTTTGGGGTTTTCACTGAAACTAAATCTTGTATGTGGTGAACCCTGGATGGCTGTGATTAAGCACAAGATGTCTGGTGGTACAGAGATGGTTATGAAGGCCAGCACAATTAAGCTAAATATATCTTTGATGTGATCAAGGCTTACATTCCAGAACCTCATGCACAAATTGTCCATGCATAGAAAAACTTGATCCTTATTGAAAACTTAATGAGAAATGTTAACAGGCTCTGTGTCCCTCTAGAACAGAAGGATGTATCCCAACATGTGTAATTGTTTCAGTGATTTTCATGTTTCCTGGTGTCATGGCTGGCAGACATGCATGATGTGATGTGGCCTGCAGGGTCAGCATTCAGCCGTGGAAAAGAATTCTCTGTAACCACACAATTGAAACCTCACAGCCCAGGCATGGTCATACCAGACCACCACAACCAGACCAGCTGGAGCACTTTCAGTTTAATAGCAATAAATAGGAATAAAATACACTTCTTGCTGTATGGTTGTAATTTACTCACTTAATCTGTTATAACACATAGCTGATTTCACGATAACACTGATGCGTTTGTATCCATGACAACATTACAGTCACCTTTCTCGTTGTCATACATACTCATTGGCTCAACGCGACAATGTATATTCCATCTATTATAATAATCAGGATGCCTCCAAGCCATTGGCTCACCTCGACTCTCATGCTGTACTTCACGAAAGTTCCAATGCCAGTGAGATATGATCATGGATTATGGTCAAATTAAGCTTTGGTTTCATATATTATACAATTCATAGTTTCTAGGTTCTGATAAAAGCAAAATGATTTAGGAATAGCATTTTTGTCCTATTTCCTTGGTTCCCTTGCACTCAATAGCCCCATATGGGCACAACCTCAGCCCCCCACCACTTTAACCTCAGGGCCCATGCCTCCATTTTCAGTTCTCAGTCCCCAGCCCCACTTTCGATCTGTGCTCCCCCCCAGCTCCTAACCCCAGGGAAGTGGCTTTGGTGGAATGCCACACAAAAGCCCAGTAGTATTTACACACTCTGCTTTCTCACAGTGTTCACAGGCGAAAAGTTTCCTCCTGTTATTTTTTTCCCCTGCTCTTCCCATGTTTGAATCATTCTCCTTTTCCCTTTGTAATTGCAAAGAAAGTGACAGAGAGATTGTTTTCGTGGTTGTAGCAGATGTGTGAGCAAGGGTCATCTGTATAGGATTATATAGGTGATTTTAGACCTGATTAGTGTTTCATTCTGTCCCTTTTACAGGTTTCACAATTGGCTCCATGGTGTCTTGTTTCATGTGTCTTTGTCTTGAGTGGGTGTCATTATTTTCAATCTCTTTTATAGACATTTTACTGTACGTTGTCTTGTGTCAATGTTTGCCACTCTGTAAAAACTAAAGCCATATAGCTGGATGGATTATTCCTAGAATGACTGTGTCTAATGATGAAGCTATATTCTCCTCT